GGGGGATCAGCTTTAGGCGATCAATCAAGCAATCAGACATTCCATCCATCTTGGAAGCAAAGCAAGAAGGAGATGACAACCATGAGTGGCTGAGCTTCTCTTTTGTGATTCAAGGGGAATTTCTGGTTCAATTGTGTCACCATGAGGTTATGTGCCTAATTTAATTTCTTGCTTTTAATTCAAGTATTCGTTGATTCTTGTGCATGTTCTTATGGAAGTTAATGTTGATTAGTCTAACAAATTAATCAATGTTAATCTTCCTACTGCTATCCATGATTCGATGATCCGTAATTGTTACGAATAGTGGTACAAGTAGCAATTAGGTTAATATCTTTTTGGGTCAATTATTCGTGACAACCTTTGACCAATGTATTGTCATGTTTTAACCTAAAGGGAATCAATGGAACACGATTGGATAATTGCAGCTATCTCAATTATTTTTATTTTGGTTTAACTGTTTTCACGGAGGTTATTGCTATCATTAATTGATATGGAACGCTATCGTGCCTAGTCGGTCAATGATAAGTGTTGATCAAATGCTAGGTTTGGTCAACTAAATTAGGAAAACACAAGGTTTATTATGACTATCCTAATAAATCCAAAGGTTAAATGCTAGAATTGCAAGATTGCTGATTTTAACCTATGATCGATGTCCAATTGACTCAATTCGAACCCTTGGATCAGAGTTGGTAAGACCGAATATTCCTTGTTAGTTGTTATTTGCTCTTTTGTTATTTTAGAATTTTAATTATTCAAATTTCCCACTCTTTATATTGCGCATTCGGCTGAGAAATTAATTACTGGATCCCTGTGGGATTCGACCTTGTACCACTGTTACTACAAGTTTATAGTAAGGTGGGACTAGAATTAATTTTGAGGGCTTCGACAACCCATCAGTTGGATTAATATATACTCACGAAACTTACAGCTTGAGCAATGCCTAGTCAACCTCACTATATAGCATACATGATGCTCCCTACGGTAGAGACATAATTCACCTTTCTTATGTCCTCTATCTCTTTAAGCACAACTAGTAGATATTTATCAGAAGCACTGAACCTAGACCAATTTCTAGTTATGCCCTGGACCTTGGAGATAGATGAGAAAAATTGGAAATTTACACATAAATCCAGACTTGAGTATGGTACTACACTAAGTGTTGAACTGAGCTGTCTTTAATATGCCAACTAGTGACATCCATCAAGGGTCAAATACCTAGGTATGTTGGGGTAGTCCAAGAACTCACCTATGTGGGTGATCATAGTGGTAGGATTAGCTCTTTTGTACAAAGTGAATATTTGGGTTTACACTCTCTCTATTGGAAACATAAACTGCTGATTGTGGATTTCACATGTGTTTGAAATCTGGTTTTGCAAAATATATTTATATGCTATATACTACTATTTTATAAAAAGGGTTTGCGAAAGTTTTAATCCTAGGATCCATTTGAGAAGAGAGTGTGACACTACACCATGTAGCCAGGAGAGAGGTGCCTTGTTTGATAGTGTTTTGATCATTATGGGCCAAGAAGTTAAGTGTAAGAGACCATTATAAGACTGATTACCTGATGGGTTTTGTCTTACATGTGTGCATTATGCTTGAGTCTTCATAGGCTGGATTAATCCAATGATCATTATGCTTGGGTCTTCGTGTGAGATCATTGTAGGGTCCCATGCCATACAATATCAGGCCTAAAGTGGCCATGCAACACCTTGGTTCATGAGACTTTGAACAAAATGGGCTAAAGGCCCATAATTAATAAGATTAATTAAACAATCATATGACAACTTAAGTTGTCATGTGCTCTAGGTTGAATCTGGGTTTGGTAATTGGTATAGAGCAACTATCCTCTTAAGACGATAAGGCTTATCTCTTAATAGAGTTTAGATCCAAATTTGATTTGAATAATCTCCTTATTAGATTATGAGAGTCTACATAAGGTGATAGAAGAGAAGAGGGCAAATTAGACTACGACTCTTCACTCTCTTGCTCTCTCTTCTATCCTCTCTTGTCTTCTAAGAAACCTTAATTCGACCTAGGCTTTTAAGAAGTAATTTGATTTCAAATATGGTTTGGTTCAGTGCATGACCTATCTGAAAAAAATGTAGCTTTTCAAAACATTGGGAAATTAATTCCTAAAAGGGTTAGAAAATTTGTGAAATTTTGCCTAGTCATATAGCATGGTTTGGCCATCTATAAGATGGATTCTAACCCTTCCAATAGTGGTATCAGAGCCAAAGGTTCAGTTCTTGAACTGAGCTGATTTAAATTTGAGAGAAAGATCAAATCGACAAGAACTAGTCAAGCCGATTTGACCTAGTCAACATGAAAAGCTAAGAATTCAGTTCTCAGCTTTGGGGCCAATGATCTAAAAATTAATCTTTATACTTTTTGATATATTATGGATTTGTTCTATGCTGAATTGTTGAATTCTTGGGCTGAAAGTGTGATGGAGATTGAAATCTTTGGTGGTGGCAAGATTCATGCACACCGTTTGATTATTTGATTTTTTGGTCAGTAATTAATTCTTTTTGTTATTTAGAAAGAATGTGTTAGGTTTTTTCTGATGTAAGACTTGGAAATTAGGGTTTTTCTATTTATTTACATTGAAAGACTTGTTTGAGATCGTGGAGGAAGATGGAGATTGATATAGAGATATCAATTCGTTTTGATCTTGCATTTGTTCGGATTGGATTTGGACCATCACCTATCAACCCTTGTTATTTAATTTGATTAATTACTATTTATTTGTTGATATGATTGTGAATCATATCTGTGAATTTTCGGATCATAATTAATGTGGATTGATGCATATTTTGGGCACCAAACCCTATGTCGATTTAACCTAGTTTCGGTCTAACATACATGGGCTAAACCTATGGTTGGTTGGGGATTGACTACAGCCCCATGGATCACTAGTTAAGTGACCAAATATAGATCTTGGCCAGGGGTTTGATGGGCCATTACATGGACCAATTTGGTCTATGCTTGTAAAATCTAATTAAAATTATACTAAAGCAAGATAAACCCATTTCAGTATGGATAGCTATATGGGCCGAATTGATTTTTGCAGTTGAGCTCATATATCAAGATGAATATTATTAAATAATTGGGTCCATTAATGGGTTAATCATGTGTTAATCTAAATCGATTAAGGTTTTATAAGATTTAATTTGATTTTGAACATTTAGGCTCAGTTTGGAAGTAGTACAAATGCAAATATGTACAACGTAAATACATACAAAATAATACAAAATATAAGGTTTTGCAGTCTACACATTTGCATTTGTACTCCTTCCAAACTCAGCCTTATGTGTGATGTGCTATGTGAATGTGATTTGTACATAAGCCATAAGTGCTTGGCCCATGAAAAGACTTATCTGGCTCTCCACGCCCATCATGGATGAATGTACATCATTGCCATAATGTTCATGGATCATTGTATGGTCTCCCTTTAACGGGAGCTCACATTTTGTGCACCCAAGTGCACCCGTGAATGGGTGATCGACATGTGTTAACCACGAATTAATGGAAGTTTTTTCTGTTAGTTGGTTGAACCGACTATTGTTGACTCTCCTCTACCGAATGCACTTCACAACAATGAGTAGAAGTTGTTTGGAAAGCGAGAGGTCGACCACCTGGGTCAAAGAATAAACCCAAGCCACCAATCGTTATTACCAGAGACAACAACTTCGCCATGTTTGGAGGGATTTTTGTAGGAGGTCATCGTTTCATCTTCCTCTGCAAAGTCGTCTCAATTTACTATCTCTCTTGCAGAGGTCACAGGTAGGTGTTTGGAGGGATTGTTGCAGGGTCATTCGTCGCTGGGAGCACCATAGTTCTAGTTGCAGCATCTTTTATTAACCCTAATTTCCATTGTCTTCCTGGTGAAGATGAAGAAAGCGAGGACATTAAAGCTGGTAACATGGTGGGTGGAAGCGATTCTTGCACGAGTAGCATGTCCATGTTTGTTTACAATGTTGCAGTTTTGAGCCCTATGAATTGCCAAATCCCCCCTGAAGTCTTGCCGTGGCCTCCCACCTCACGTCCTCCATACTGAGAACTATAAATACCAGAAAGGAAAATAATAGAAAAAGAGAGGAATGAAAGGTGGTTAAAACCCTGTTCGTCCTTCAGATCAGACCTACCACTGGAGAAGATGAAGAAGAAGAAAAGAAGAAGAATAATGGAGAGTCAAAGAAGAAGAGAAGAAGGATACGTCACCGCCGCCAAAGCTTTGCTGCCGTTGATTCATCGTTAGTTCGCCACCGGAGCTCTATCACCGCCAATGGACAAGGGTTACTTTGTTGTATGGGTAGGGTTCGGTGAAGATAAACAAAAGAAAGAATTGAAAGAAGAAGAATCGAAAGAAAAATGGGATTTTTGATGGGTACTCGACCGGTTCATGTTCACGTGAACTGGACCAGACTACGTTAACGCTCAAATGTGCATTAATATTGAATTGGTTGACGTGTTGATCACCCATTCGCGGGTGCACTCGTCCAGTGCACCTACGGGTGCACAGAATGAGAGCTCCTTTAATGGGCTCTTCTCTTGTTTCCTCTCCAAAGAGGAACCCCATGTGAACCCTAGCCCATTTAGGGCCCATTTATGACTTTATGAAACAGCGGACGCCACTATGTTAAGACCTAAAGCTGACCTAGGGACTAATATATTTGTTTCCTCATGATTAATATAAGTGCAATGAGATAGGGAATATCATAAGATGATATCTCTAAAGGCCTTCTATCATTAGCATGAAAATAGGAAAAATTGGTGATCGAAGATGCACCATTAAAGTGAGCTATGCGTTTCATTGAGACAATTAGTGGGATTGCTTCTTAGGATCATAGGGTCATCATAGACTAGTGGGAGGGGCATCGATGACTAATATAATTGTGGAATTAGTTAGAAATGGCACACAAATAGTTCGTTAAATTAGTAGACGACAATAAACTCAAGGAACTAAACGATCGAAATTGGTTTTGTATCCTTAACTTGGTACTCACGTTTCACTAGACAAGAAGAAAGTATTAGGAATGAGATGAAAAAGACTCTCTTGCCTGGTGTTACATCGTTGCATCACTAGACAACTTTATTTAGAGGTAGTTTGATAAAGTAGAAAACTACAATGATATTGTGGGTAGTTTAAAGACCATGTATGAGGAGCAGAATCGTCTGCACGACAAAAAGTCCACAAATTCTTGATGACCAGTAGGATGACCGAAAGCCAATTGGTTTATGACCATGTCTTGAAGATGACTAGTTTTATAAAAGAATTGGAGGCTGTTTACCCACATCCTTTAATCAGTTTATCATGAACTACAACATGAACAAGCTAACATCTAGCTTGCAAGAACTCGACAATATTTGTAGAGAACCGAGGAACTAATTAAAAAGGACAAGTCGGTGGCCATGTTTATTGAATGAGGCAAATCTGGTAAGAAGAAATGAAAGGGCAAGAAGAGGCCTAAGAAGAAAGGTGAAAAACAAAAGAAGTAGAAGAAAGACAAGTCATCAAACAAGTTCGTTGCATCTCAAAACTTGCTCATCGTACCTTAGAACATATTCATCGCACCTGAATACTTGCTCAACGCATCTCAGAACATATTCATCACACCTAAAAACTTGCTCATCGCACTTCAGAATGTGTTCATCGCACATGAAAACTTTCTCATCGCATATCAAAACATGTTCATTGGACCTTAAAACCTTGCTCATTGCACCTCAAAACATGTTCATTGCACCAGAAACCTTGCTCATCGTACCTCAGAACATGTTCATCGCACCAGAAAACATGCTCAACGCACCTCAGAACATGTTCGTTGCACTTGAAAACTTGCTCATCGCACCTTAGAACATGTTCATCGCACCTGAAAACTTGTTCATCACACCTCAGAACATTTTTATCGCACCTAAAAAACTTCTCATCACACTTAAGAACATGTTCATCGCACATGAAAACTTACTAGACCACAAAACATGTTCATCGCAACTGAAAACTTGCACATCGCAACTTTGAACAAGTTCATAACACTAGAAAACTTACTCATCGCACCTCAAAACCTGTTCATCGCACTGGAAAACTTGTTTATTCCCACTGAAAACAAGCTCATCGCACCTAAGAACATGTTCGTCACACCTGAAAAATTGCTTATCAAAGCTTTGAGCATGTTCATCGCACCTGAAAAATTGCTCATCAAACCATAGAACATGTTCATCGCACCTGAAACATTGCTCACCACACCTTAGAACATGTTCATCACACATTAAAACTAGCTAATCACACCTCAAAATATGTTCATCACACCTGAAAACATGCTCATTACACCTTAGAACATTTTCATCGCACCTAAAACTTTCTCATTGCACCTCAGGACATGTTCATCGCACTTGAAAACATGCTCATCACATTTCAGAACACATGATAACTTGCTCACCGCACCTCAAAACGAGTTCATCGCAAAAGAAAACTTGCTCACTGCATTTCAGAACATGTTCTTTGCACCAGAAAACTCGCTCAACGCACCTCAGAATAAGTTTATTGCACCTAAAAAATGCTCATTGCACCTTAGAACATATTCATCGCACCTCAAAACATGTTCATTGCGCCAGAAAACATGATCATCGCACCTCAGAACATGTACATCGCACCTATAAAGTTGCACATCACACTTCAGAACAAGATCATCTCACATAAAAACTTACCCCTCGTATCTAAAAACTTGCTCATGGCACCTCAGAAGAAGATTATTGCACCTAAAAACTTGCTCATTGCACCTCAGAACAAGTTCTTTGCACCTGGAAACATGCTTATCACACCTCAGAACATGTTGATCGCACTTGAAAACTTTCTCAACGCACCTCAGAACATGTTCATTGCACTAGAAAATCTACTAATCGCACCTCAAAACATGTTCATCGCACATGAGAATTTGTTTATTGCAGCTAAGAATATTTTCAACGACCTAAAAACTAGGTTTCCACACCATAAAACATGTTCTTCACACCAGAAAGCATACTCATCACACCTTAGAACATTTTCATTGCACTTGAAAACTTCTTCATTGCACCTCATTACATGTTCTTCGCATTTGAAAACTAGCTCACTACACCTCAGAAAATGTTCATTGCACCTGAAAACTTGCTCATTGCACCTCAGAAGTTGTTCATCACAAAAGAAAACTTGCTCATCGCACCTAAGAGCTTGTTCATCACACCTGAAAACTTATTCATCACACCTCAGAACATGTTCATCACACCTGAAATCTTGTTCATCGCACCTCATAACATGTTTATCACACCTTAAAACATATTCATCGCACAACACATGTTCATTGCATCTAAAACTTGCTCATCGCACCTCAAAACGTGTTCATCGCACCAGAAAACATGCTAATCGCACCTCAAAACATGTTCATTGCACTTCAAAACCTTGCTCATCGCACCGTAAAACAAGTTCATTGCACTAGAAAAGTTGCTCATCGTACCTCAAAACGTGCACATCGCACCTGAAAAATTGCTTAACGAATATCAAAACATGTTCATCGCACGTGAAAACTTGCTCATCAGACCTTAGAACAAGTTCATTAGACCTAAAAACATGCTCATCGTAGCTCAGATCACTTTCATTGCACCTGAAAACCTGCTCATCATACTTCGGAACATGTTAATCGCACCTGAAAAGTTACTCACCACACCTCAGAAAATTTACATCACAACTGAAAAATTGCTCATCGCACCTCAGAACATGTTCATCATGCCTGAAAACTTACTCATTGCACCTGAGAACATGTTGATCGCACTTAAGAACATGTTGATCACGCCTAAAAACATGCTCATCACACCTTAGAACATATTCATCGCACCTATAAACTTGATCATCTTACCTTAGAACACGTTCATCACACATGAAAACTTGTTCCTCGCACCTCAGAACTTCTTCGTCGCACCTAAAAAACATGTTAATTGCCCTACAACATGTTCATCACACAAAAAACTTGCTCATCACACCATAGAACATGTTCACCACACCTCAAAACTTGCTCATCACACCATAGAACATGTTCACCACACCTCAAAACTTGCTCATCACACCACAGAACATGTTTATCACACTTGGAAACTTGCTCATCGCACCTCAGAACATGTTCAACACACATGAAAACTTGCTTATTTTACCTCAAAACATCATCATTGCACCTGAAAACTTGCTCATCATACCTCAGAGCATGTTTATCGCACCTAAAAACCTTCTCATCACACTTCAAAACATGTTCATTTCAGCTGAAAACTCTTTTCTTACCTCAGAACAGGTTCATCGTGCCTAGAAACTTGTTCATCGCACCTAAAAACTTTGTCATCGCACTTGAAATCTTTTTCATCACATCCTAAAACATGTTAATCGCAACAAAAAACTTGCTCATTTGAACTTAAAAAATGTTTAGCACACTTGAAAACTTACTCATCGTACCTTAAAACATGTTCATCGCACCTGAAAACTTGCTCATTGCACCTCAGAACATGTTCATCGTGCCTAAAAACTTGCTCATCGTTCCATAAAACATGTTCATCACACTTGAAAACTTGTACATCACACCTTAGAACATGTTCATCGCCCCTGAAAACTTGCTCATTATACCTCAGAATATTGTCATTATACCTTAAAACTTGCTCAACGGACCTCAGAACATGCTTATCGCACCTAAAAACATTCTCATCACACCTTAGAACATGTTCAACACACCTAAAAATTTTCTCATCGCACCTCAGAACAGGTTCATCACACCTAAAAACCTGCTCATCACACCTTAAAACATGTTCATCGCACAAAAAAACTTACTCATCACAACTCAGAAAATGTTCATTGCACCTGAAAACTTGCTCGTTGCACGATAGAACATATTCAACACTCCTAGAAACTTGCTCATCGCACCATATAATGTGTTCATCGCACCTGAATACTTGCTCAACACTCCTTAGAACATGTTTATCGCACCTAAAAACCTTCTCACACTTCAGAACATGTTCATCACACTTGAAAACTTTTTCATCTTACCTAACAACAGGTTCATCGCACCTTAAAACATTTCCATCACACCTCAAAACTCCCTCATCACAAATCAAAAAGTGTTCATCATACAAAAAAACTTGCTCTTTGCACCACAAAACATGTTCATCACTATTAAAAACTTGCCCATCGCACCTTAGAATATGTACATCGCAACTAAAAACTTTGTCATCGTACCTCTGAACATGTTCATCGCAGCTGAAATCTTTTTCATCGCATCCTAAAACATGTTCACCGCAACAAAAAACTTGTTCATCGAAATGCAAAAAATGTTTATCACTCTTGAAAACTTACTCATCGCACCTTAGAACTTGTTCATCGCACCTAAAAACTTGCTCATCACACCTTAGAACGTGTTCATCGCACTTGAAAACATGCTTATCGCACCGCCGATCATCACATCAAAACATGTTCATCGCACTTGAAAACATGCTCATTGAACCTTAGAACAAGTTCATCGCACCTGAAAACATGTTCAACGTAGCTCTTACCATTTTCATCGCACGTGAAAACATGCTAATTGCACTTCCGAACATGTTCATTGCACCTGAAAAATTACTCACCACACCTCAGAACATTTACATCGCAACTGAAAACTTGCTCATTGCACCTCAGAACATGTTCATCGTGCCTAAAATCTTGCTTATTGCACCTCAAAATATGCTCATCGCACCCGAGAACATGTTGATAACACCTGAAAACTTGATAATCACACTTCAGAATATGTTCAACGCACATAAAAACTTGATCATCTTACCTTAGAACATGTTCATCACACAAGAGAACTTGTTCCTCGCACCTCAGAACATCTTCGTCGCACCAAAAAACTAATAAATTGCCACTCAACATGTTCATTGCACAAAAAAACTTGCTCATCGCACCTTAAAACATGTTCATCACACCTCAAAACTTGCTCATTACACCTCAGAACATGTTCATCACACATGGAAACTTGACCATCGCCCTTCAAAACATGTTGAACACACATGAAAACTTGCTTATTTTACCTTAAAACATCATCATCGCACCTGAAAACTTGCTCAGAATACCTCAGAACATGTTTATCGCACCTAAAAACTTTCTAAATACACTTCAAAACTTGTTCATTGCACCTGAAAACTCAGATCTAGCCTCAAAACAGGTTCATCACACCTAAAAACTTGCTCATCGCACCTAAAAACTTGCTTATCACAACTCAAAAAGTGATCATCACACATAAAAAATTGCTTATCGCACCACAAAAACATGTTCATCACTCCTAAAAACTTGCTCATCGTAGCTTAGAATATGTACATCGCAACTAAAAACTTTGTCATCGCACCTTAGAACATGTTCATATCTCCTAAAAACTTGCCTATCGCACCATAGAACGTGTACATCTCAGCATAAAACTTTGTTATCGCACCACAGGACATGTTCATTTCACCAGAAAACTTTCTCATTGCACTTCAGAACATGTTCATCGTGCTTCAAAACATGCTCAGCACACCTCGGAACATGTTCATCGCAGCTCAACACTTGCTCTTCGCACCTAAGAACATGTTGATCACACCTGAAAAACAGCTCATCACACCCTAAAACATATTTGTCGCACCTAAAAACTTGATCATATTAGCTTAGAACATTTTTATTACACATGAAAACTAGTTCATCGCACCTCAGAACTTCTTCGCCGCACATAAAAACTTGCTAATTGCACCTCAGAAAATGTTAATCGAACAAAAAACTTGCTCTTCGTACCTCAGAACATGTTCTTCACACCTCAAAACTTGCTCATCACACCTTATAACATGTTCATCACAATGAAAACTTGTGCATCGCACCTCAAAACATGTTCGTCACACATGGAAACCTCCTCATTGCACCTCAGAACATCATCATGGCACTTGAAAACATGCTCATCGCACCTTAGAACGTGTTCATTGCACCTAAAAACTTGATCAACACACCTCAAAACATGTACATCGCACTTGAAAACTTGCTCATTGCACCTTAGAACATGTTCATCGTACCTAAAATCATGCTCATCGCAGCTCAGACCATTTTCATCGCACCTAAAAACTTGTTCAACACACTTCAGAACATGTTCATCGCACCTAAAAAGTTACTCACCACACCTAAGAACATGTTCATCGCAACTAAAAATTTGCTCATCGCACCTGAAAATATGCTCATCGCACCTAAGAACAAGTCGATCACACCTAAAAATTGCTCATCGCACCTCAAAACAAGTTTAACACACCCAAAAACTGGATCATCTTACCTTAGAACTTGTTCATCACAGATGAAACTCGTTCCACACACCTCAGATCTTCTCATTGCACCAAAAAATTGGGTAATTGCATCTCAACATGTTCATCGCACAAAAGAACTAGCTCATCGCACTTCAGAACATGACCATCACACCTCAAAACATGCTCCTCACACCTCAAAACATATTCATCACACCTCAAAACTTGCTCATTAAACCTCAGAACATGTTCATCACAAAGAAAACAAGCTCATTGCAGCTCAGAACATGTTTTCACACAAGAAAACTTGCTCATTTTTCCATAGAACTTCATCATGGCACTTGTAAACATGCTCATCGCACCTGAGAAAGTGTTCATCGCACCTGAAAACTTGCACAATGCACCTCAAAACATGTTCGTCGCATTTGAAAACTTGCTCATCGCCCTTTAGAACATGTTCATCGGACATGAAAATTTGCTCATTACAGCTCTGACCATTTTCATCGCACCTGAAACCTTGTCCAACGCACTTGAGAAAATGTTCATCGCACCACATAACATGTTCATCCCAAAAGAAACTTGTTTATTTTACCTCAAAACATCAACATTGCACCTAAAAACTTGTTCATTTTTCCTCAAAAGAAATTTATCGCACGTAAAAACCTTTTCATTACACTTCAGAACAAGCTTATCACACCTGAAAACTTTCTCATCTTACATCAGAATTGGTTCATCGTACCTAAAAACTTATTCATCGCACATTGAAAAAAGTTCATCGCACTTCAGAACATGTTCTTCGCACCTAAAACATGCTCATCACAACTTAGATAGTGTTCATCGAACCTGAAACTCGCATTTTGCACCACAGAACATGTTCGTCGCTCCTAAAAACTAGCTTGTCGTATAGCCCATAACATGTTCATCACACCTAAAAACTGTCATTTCACCTCAGAACATGTTCATCGCACCTCAAAATATGCTCATCGCACCTAAGATCATGTTGATCACACCTGAAACCTAGCTCATGACACCTTAGAACATATTTATCGCACCTAGAAACTTGATCATCTTAGCTTAGAACATGTTCATCACACAAGAGAACTTGTTCATCGCACCTCAGAACTTCTTCGTCACACCTAAGAACTTACTCATTGCACATCTGAAAATGTTCATCGCACAAAAAACTTCTCATCGCACCTCAGAACATGTTCTTCACACCTCAAAATTTGCTCATCACATCAGAACATGTTCATCGCAATGAAAATTTGCTCATTGCACCTAAGAACATGTTTGTGACACATGGAAACTTCCACATTGCATCTTAGAACATCACCATGGCACTTGAAAACATGTTCAACGCACCTCAAAACATGTTCATCGCAGTTGAATACTTGTTCATTGCACCTTATAACATGTTCATCGAACCTACAACATGCTCATCGCAGCTCAAACTATTTTCATCGCATCTGAAAACTTGTTCAATGCACTTCGAAACATGTTCATTGCACCCAAAAAGTTACTCACCATGCCTTAGAACATGTTCATTGCATTTGAAAGGTTGCTCATAATGCCTTAGAACATGTTTAACAGAATTGGAAACTTGTTCATCGCAGCTAAGAACATGTTTATCGCACATGAAAACTTGCTTATTATATCTCCAAACATTTTCATCGCACCTCATACTTGTTCAATACACTTTAGAACATGTTCATCGCACCTAAAAAGTTACTCACCACACCTCAGACCATGTTCATCGCAACTGAAAATTTGCTCATTGCACCTGAAAATATGCTCATCGCACCTAAGACATGTCGATCACACCTAAAAATTGCTCATCACACCTCATAACATGTTTAATGCACCCAAAAACTGGATCATCTAACCTTAGAACTTTTTCATCACAGAAGAAACTCATTCCACGCACCACAGATCTTCTCATTGCACCAAAAAATTGGGTAATTGCACCTCAACATGTTCATCGCACAAAAGAACTTGCTCATCGCACTTCAGAACATGACCATCACACCTTAAAACTTGCTCCTCACACTTCAAAACATATTCATCACACCTCAAAACTTGTTCATTAAACCTTAGAACATGTTCATCACAAAGAAAACAAGCTCATTGCAGCTTAAAACATGTTTTCACACAAGAAAACTTGCTCATTGTACCATAGAACTTCATCATGGCACTTGTAAACATGCTCATTGCACCTGAGAATGTGTTCATTGCACCTAAAAACTTGCACAATGCACCTCAAAACATGTTCGTCGCATTTGAAAACATTATCATCGCCCCTTAGAACATGTTCATCGGACATGAAAATTTGCTCATTGTAGCTCGGACCATTTTTATCGCCCCTGAAAACTTGTCCAACGCACTTCAGAAAATGTTCATCACACCACATAACATGTTCGTCCCAAAAGAAACTTGCGTATTTTACCTCAGAACATCATCATTGCACCTAAAAACTTGTTCATTTTTCCTCTAAAGAAGTTTATCACACCTAAAAACCTTTTCATCACTCTTCAGAACAAGCTTATCACACCAGAAAACTTTCTCATCTTACCTCAGAATTGGTTCGTCGCACCTAAAAACTTATTCATCGCACATTGAAAAAAGTTCATCGCACTTTAGAACATGTTCTTCGCACCTAAAACATGCTCATCACAACTTAGATAGTGTTCATCGAACCTGAAAACTCGCATTTTGCACCACAGAACATGTTCATCACTCCTAAAAACTAGCTTGTCGTATAGCCCATAACATGTTCATCACACCTAAAAACTTTGTCATTTCACCTCAAAACATGTTCATCGCACCTCAAAATATGCTCATCACACCTAAGATCATGTTGATCACACCTGAAACCTAGCTCATGACACCTTAGAACATATTTATCGCACCTAGAAACTTGATCATCTTASCTTAGAACATGTTCATCACACCTAAAGACTTTCTCATCGCACCTCAGAACGTGTTCTTCACACTTGAAAACTTGCTCATCGCACCTAAAAACTTTCTCATCGCACCTCAGAACAGGTTCATCACACCTAAAAACTTTGTCATTTCACCTCAAAACATGTTCATCGCACCTCAAAATATGCTCATCACACCTAAGATCATGTTGATCACACCTGAAACCTAGCTCATGACACCTTAGAACATATTTATCGCACCTAGAAACTTGATCATCTTAGCTTAGAACATGTTCATCACACAAGAGAACTTGTTCATCGCACCTCAGAACTTCTTCGTCACACCTAAGAACTTACTTATTGCACATCTGAAAATGTTCATCGCACAAAAAACTTCTCATCGCACCTCAGAACATGTTCTTTACACCTCAAAATTTGCTCATCACACATCAGAACATGTTCATCGCAAAGAAAATTTGCTCATTGCACCTAAGAACATGTTTGTGACACATTGAAACTTCCACATTGCATCTTAGAACATCACCATGGCACTTGAAAACATGCTCAACGCACCTCAAAACATGTTCATCGTAGTTGAATACTTGTTCATTGCACCTTACAACATGTTCATCGGACCTAAAAACATGCTCATCGCAGCCCAGATTATTTTCATCGCACCTGAAAACTTGTTCAACGCACTTCAGAACTTGTTCATTGCACCCAAAAATTTACTCACCATGCCTTACAACATGTTCATCGCATTTGAAAGGTTGCTCATCACGCCTTAGAACATGTTTAACAGAATTGGAAACTTGTTCATCACAGCTAAGAACAGGTTCATCGCACAAGAAAACTTGCTTATTTTATCTCTAAACATTTTCATCGCACCTCAAAACTTGTTCAACACACATCAGAACATGTTCATCGCACCTAAAAGGTTACTCACCACACTTCAGAACATGTTCATCAACACACCTCCGAACATGTTCATCAGAATTGAAAATATGCTCATCGCACCTAAGAACATGTCGATCACAGCTGAAAACTTGCTCATCGCACTTCAGAACATGTTTATCGCACCCAAAAACTGGATCATCTTACCTTAGAATTTGTTCATCACAGATGAAACTTGTTCCACGTACCTCAGATCTTCTCATCGCACCTAAAAATTGGGTAATTGCACCTCAACATGTTCATCGCACAAAAGAACTTGCTCATTGCACCTCAGAACATGATCATCACACCTCAAAACTTGCTCCTCACACCTCAGAACATATTCATCCCACCTGAAAACATGCACATTAAACCTCAGAACATGTTCGCCACAATGAAAACAAGCACATCGCAGCTCAGAACATGTTATCACAACAAGAAAACTTGCTTATTGTACAAAGAACATCATCATGGCACTTGTAAACATGCTCATCGCACCTGAGAACGTGTTCAACGGGCCTAAAAACTTGCTCAACACACCTCAAAACATGTTCGTCGCATTTGAAAATTGCTCATCGCCCCTTAGAACATGTTCGTCGGACATGAAAATTTACTCATTGCCAGACCATTTTTATCGCACCTGAAAACTTGTCCAACGCACTTCAGAACATGTTCATCACACCACATAACAATTCGTCACAAAAGAAACTTGCTTATTTTACCTCAGAGCATCATCATTGCACCTAAAAACTAAAGGGATGAGAGATCCATCGTCTGGACGCCCAAGTCTTGCGGAATAAGGTGGGCGAATTTAATAAAAAAATTCTCTCCCTTTAACTGGGAATCGAATTCCCTATTTAGAAAATCATATTTTCAAGGATCAATCTTGAAACATAAATTGAACCAGATCTGAACAAAAGCAGTGGGAGAGAATTATACCTGATACGGAGAAGTAATATTTCCCAATGGAGGCGTTCATGCCCAAGGAAGGATCCAAAGACTGCTTGCACTAAAGATGGCACAGTGCAGGATGGGCAGAATCAGCAGTGTTCTTCTCCAAGACCCTAGTCCTTCGAAAGAAATAGCAGGATGTCCCCACAACTAGAGATCGAACTAGCAATATAGGCAGCAAGAAGGAGGCGGCAAGAAAGAATTCTACAGGGTTGCTTAATTCTTTCTTCTGTTATTTCAGCTCTAAAGAGGATGTAAATATGTGTCTTCTAAAGGCTGCTGCCCC